GTGTATATTCTGTCATCTAGAATGCAGGACTGCAACTCCCATTAGCTCTAGCTGGCATAACCAGTGATGAGAATTACTGAGAGTTGGCTGTCCAAAAACATCCAGCAATCAGGAAATCTTGTTGAAGTTATGCTTCCTTTTCTGGGAAAATAACTTTAGCATAATCAGAGGAAGAATCTGAGCACATCTAGGGAAAGGGCTGGTGCAGTCTTCCTGAGTTACAACTTTCCCCTCTTATTTGGTATAACATTAAATGCAGCTGCTGATTTTTTGCAAAGTAGGTGCCTTCCACTATTAGTGTGCCTTCCTACTGCATTCTCTCCATGAGGGTTGGAGGGGCTTTTGTATATTTAATTACAGGCTTTTCTCTATTTAATTATCACAAAGATGGTTGGGCAATTGAACAGTGAATTTGTTTTGTTTGCATTCCATTATCAGAAGAAAGGTGGGATACAAATGAATGTAAAGATTATGATGATGGGGGGACAGTATGATTAATCTGATGTGATAGATGGGTCCCTCGTTGTGTTGGCTGTAGAGTTTCACATCTCTTAGAGCTCCCATCCCTTCTCTTGTTCCTGTAAAACTGAAAATCCTCTTAGTGATGGAAAAGGTAATGTAATAGAATAACTTTCTACCAGTTTTATTTACTTCTGAAAATGCTGTGTTAATTGGTTGTATCTGAGATCCACAATTAGTTACTGGTGTTTAAGAGTTCACAGAGTTGTTGGAAAACAATCCCGGGCACAAAATAGTCATACAACCAGGTATCAAGCACAGCACAGTTGAGCTGCTCTGGAAAATGTCATGAGTGAACTATTTAAAGGCTGGGCTCTATACATATTCCTATTGTGAGTCAGTATAACCACAGGACAAAATCCCAACTGTTTTAACCATTTCAGTTCTTTTAAAAAGCAAGTTTCTAGCCCTTACACCAGGGGTCGGCAACCTACAGCCCGCGGGCCGTTTCCGGCCCAGGTCGCCGGACTTACGGGCCCAGGCGGACCCCTGCCGCCGTTGCCGCCGCCCGGCCGCGCGCAACGCGGCCGCCATTTGGGTCCCCAAAATGGTGGCCACAATGTGTTTGCGCATGCGCAGGATTAC